ATTTCTTCATCTGTTCAATTGTAGGAATTTCTTCAATTAACAAGTGAACTTTTTGAGCTTTCGTTTTAGAAGAAGAAACAGAAGTTTCATTGTTATTTATATCACAATTTAAACAACTAAATGTGGATGTCCAGTCAACTTCTAACGTGCGATATTTAGAATTTCTGTTTAAATTAATAAATTTTTCCAATCCTTTGTAGTTGCATATATTTTTCAAAAATGAACGCAGTTTATTTTCAATAATAATCCCATTCCAACAAGGAAGAATTTTCATCATACAAGCATCCCGTTGAAAAACTATATAGCGATCCTGATCAGTATGTGCAATTTTTGCCAAATTATCTACATAATTATTACCCATATCATCACCATGAGCAACAACTTTAAACATTTCCACATGCAAGTTCAATGTTAATATAATTCTACATAAAATAGCTCATAAGAAATTATTATTAGTCTTAAAGTATTCTCGTGAAGTTTGAGAAAATCTTGAGTTCTTTAATTTTTCAAATTGTGTAATTACGTTAAGCGAATCTGTATTAATTCTAACTTTGCTATTTTTTGGAACAACGCTTAATGCTAAAAGGACTGCTAATAATTCTCCTCTATATGCAGAAGGCCATTTATCATTAGTAGAATAAAATTCTACATGAGGTATATCAAATAAATCACTAATCTGAGCGAAAGCGCAACTAATACTACATTGTTCAGTACCTAATTCTATTAATGATCCATCGGTGTAAAACTCAAAAATATAATAATTGTTGTTGTCAAAAGGAGCTAATGTGCGTTGTATAGTTAACAAGTCATTTCTTGAAGTTGAAGAATCTAATAAATCCAAAATTATATTATCTTGCACTTGTGATGAAATCACGTGATTTTGCGTTAACGCTTGATGTATAATATTATACTTCTTTTTTGCAAAATCAAAAATGTCAAAAATATTAAATTCTATTAAGTTTGTAAGTTGACTAGGTGCAAATTGAGAATCTGTTAATAATGGTACTAAACATTCCCAGTCAGCAGAAAACGTACAAGGTGATCGTATTGATAATGATGCATTAGCAGCACATCTATATTCCATACATTGATATATATAAGTATGTGTATTGGTACATCTAGACATATCAATATGAAAATGTTTAATAATAGGTCGTTGTGTATCATCTATTCCTTGAATTTTACCAATAACTACGGAGTTAAATTGTGAATTATAAACGGCTATTAAAGATCTATTTTTTTTAGCAATATCATATGATCGAGCCTCTTCCACATTATCAACACGAGCGCCAAATAATTGTGTTATATTATGATTCAAATGAATACTATCTGAAGTAATTAAGTTTCTAATATCTGAATACCATTTAGTTTCTTTCCGTTGTGAAAAAACAGGAATATAAGCCTTAATAAGTATTTCTTTCCATAACAATAAACGAGATTTATCACCTGAAATAATTTGATCTAAAAATAAAATATTCTTTTCACGAAGTCTCATCCTATATTTGGAATAATATGCATTATCAACCACGTCTTCCAAAGGAATAGTACCTCCTTTAATTGATGGAAAAATAAATTTATCTAAATTTTCTAACGAAATATTGTTATCATAACATAATAAAAGCATATTAAGAATATAATTATTTTTTCGTGTATGTGTAACACGATTATAAGGAAGTTTTTCTATCAATGGGCGCGATGTCCATAATTGATCCTGTAAGGATTTTAAACGAATTTCAGTAACTTTTCCTAATAGACCATTATCATTAAGTTGAATACAAAAATCAGTAATTTTGGCTTGAAGTTGATTGTCGTAAAAATCTCTATATCCATATATATAAGGATTATCTAGTATAGCGTTAGGCGCTGAACGAGCGAATTTTAATTTGTTTTTAAACATCCTTCTAAAAGGAATAATTAAAGATTCTGTTTGTGTTTTTGATAAAGCCATAACTTGTGACCAGTATTCAACTCGAGGAACGATAATTCTATTAAATATATATAAAATATGTTTATCAGTAATCTTCTTTTTATACATAAGATTAACTAAATGGTCTATTTCATTCTTGATTTTGAACATTAGATAATTTCCATCATGTTCAATATTAAAATACACTCCCAGGATACGCATAGGTTCGTGTGGATGTTTGGCTTTAATATTAATTTCTTCACGACCAAACTTGATTGAAATTTTGTCATTGTAATTATGAGAATATTTACGCTTCTCAGTTGTAGTCCTCATCATAAGCTCAGACTTTTCTTTGTTGATTTGAATATCATTAAGACGATAAAATGTATCAGCAATTTATAACATCTTTTCCAATTTCTATTTTTCATCAGTAATCCATTGAGTATCATCCATATACGCCATAATGGAAACATTTTGTTGATTGAGTACACCTTCTTCTTGAACAACTGATTTTGATATACAAGAAATATTATATCCCAATTGTTGTTTATCAATTTCTGCTAAAAGAGGATCGTAATAAATACACCAAAGTAACGGTGAAATAACTTCTCCTTGATCGATTCCTGTAAGAACATCATAAGGTGCAGTTTTTCCATACGCAGTGATTACTTGATTTTTTCTATCTTTAAAAAGTTCTAAAATGAGAGACGAAAAATCGTTAGGAATTTTAATTCTATCCATCGCTTTTTTGAGTTGTAAGATGTTCACACGATCATATGCCTTTCCCATATCCTGAGAGAGTATCCATAATTCATTATTATTATCGATTGAATCTTGAATAACTTCGTTCATAATCCTTATCGGTTCAAATGTTGATTGTTTAGGCA